CTCAGCAGCACCCCGTGGCTGCCTCCCAAGGCTACAGCTCCACTTAGGGCTGGGCTCCCCACCCCACCGCCTTTCTCCTCATTTATCCCAGCATACACCTCCCTCCCTCTCCACTGCACCAGGAACTTCCTTGTTCTCCGGTTAGACTAGAAAATGCCCTGGAGTCCATGCAAGACAATACGAGAGCAATTTGTACACCAAAATAGCACATTAAATAAGGAAGCCTACCATGAGCACCCCTTTGTGTGAGAGGCTGCAGCCCAAGGCTCATGGGCCGTGACTGTGAGAGCACCATCACACGACTCCATGCGTCCTGCACTGCACCTGGTTCTGAGCCCGTTGTTGGGCACCTACTGACCTAACTTCACCCCTCAGTGGAAGCTGAACCAGTGCCACCGTTGTTTTTTGGGGGTTTTTTTGAGTTGGAGTCTCACTCTGTCACCTAGACTAGAGTGCAGTGGCCGCTCCCGGCCACCGCAACCTCGACCTGCTGGGCTCCGGCGATCCTTCCTCCTCAGCTTTCCAAATAGCTGGAATTACAAGGCATGCGCTACCACGCCCAGCTGATTTTTTGATTTATTGTAGAGATGAGGTCTCACCAAGTTGCCCAGGTGGGTCTTGAACCCGCAGACTCAGGCAATCCACTCACCCCGAAGGCACGGGATTACAGGCTGGGCCACCGAGCCCGGCCGCCACCGTTGTTATGGGCCACCTCAAACACGGAGAAACAACAGCCAAGGAAGCGTGCTTCAATGTGGCTGGTTTACAGGTCAGGAAACAACCCTCGGGACGCATCCGCATTCTACTGTCACTTGGGTAGCAGCAGGGACCCAGGTATGGTCCAAGGGATGATGTCTCTCCCCTGGGGAGTCAAGACTGAGCTCCTCCCCTGTGAGGTCTCTCTAAGGGACAGCTCCCTGCTGGGTGCTTCCTCTTATCAGTTAGTGTAAACTTAGAAACAGGCTGCAAGCAATGACATGAGACACGTGGTCTTGCATCGACGCGGAGAGGGTTGTGGAATGCCAGCTGGGTGGGTCTTGACGGTGCCATTAGGGCACTTTCTTGCATTTGCACTAGACTGGAAGCCGTCAAACCAGCCTGTGCGTGAGCTCCCAGGTCTGAAAGCAGATGCTTTCATCTGTTTACACACTGGGTTTCTGGATACTGTGTCTTTTAAGGAAGGGCTTTCACTGCTGAAAAAGGTCAAAAAACAGAAGGCTGGAGTGACCTAGTGTCTACACAAACACTGGAGTGACCCACTCCAACTCATTTATTCCCTTGCCCCATCAGAAGAGTCAGAAGTGAGAAGAGAATGAGCAGCTCAATAATTTAAAAATGCACTTTAACCATGTTCATCTAACCCTGGCTCACTCCTTAGGCATTTTTTGGGAGGGGAAAGACGAACAGACAAACCTCCAACCTGCAGCTGCTTAGAGGAGGGTTGCTCCTCTTTTGGCAAGGTGTGCAGGAGCGGCCTTGGAAAGCCACTGTCTTCTCCACACCATCCAGGGTCTTTTCTGTGACCTCCGGGCCAGCCCTCCTAACTTGCCCTCGAGGTGCTTTAACCTTCTGCACAATATAGCCCATTCTGACGTGAGACTTCACACGCCCAGCAGTTACTGCACTGGACGGCGTGTCCGAGACTCCAAAGAGGGAGAACTCCAGGGCAGCTTGCCATCCTCAGGACTGCACTTGTCCCTCACTTCAAAGGGCCACGGTGTGGTCTCAGAGGGACCGTGCCCCTTTCCTCCAAAGGAAATGCCAGGTTTGAGTGAACCGTGACACTGTGGCTGACAAGACTCAAGTACTTGAGAGCAACACAAAGAGAGTCCTAATTAGAAAAGAAAGACACCAAACCATTTAAACATAATTTATATACATTTATGGCTTTGTACAATTATAGCAAAGATTGTTCTTGTGTCTGTTAAGTACACCAGCATCATCAGGCACTTCTCAGAGAGTATCAAACAGGAACATGGAGTCTATGCTGTTACTCAATTCGGGGGGCAAAAGGTGGGTGGTCGTGACTATGTCCCGATGGACACATATGGCTGTCCCTAGCAGTGTCCCACCTCCAGGAAGGGCCGACTAGAATGCCAGGCCAGTTTGTTTGCATAAACCACACTGTATTTTTTTTTTTTTTTGCTGAATGATTACTCCCAAACTAAAACCACAAAAGAAACTTCTCATTTAAAATCAGTTATAAATTAAGAACTCTTAAGAGCCGAATGCAAAAATTTTAAGTTGGGGGAGAGGGGACACGGGTAGTATGTACCCAGCAGTTAAACAAGTCCAAATTATGTATACCTTTGGAGAACTGTTTCCACTTCAAATCTCCTAATCCTCTTCTTGGGATGTTCCCTTGATTTACTGCTCACTGGGATACATTTGCTTGTTAATTTAGACTCTGTCAGTTTGTCAAAGCTGAACTTTCCAAGTAATGCATCTATTACCTAAATATACTCCATACATCTATATTATGGAAACAATACATCTTTATATTTAAAATATCTGAATAGCTCTATAATACAATATGCTTTTAATAACAGTACAAACCAGAGGAAATAAATCAAACAAGGCTGCATAGGTGCTATCATTTGCACATTTCACAAAGCAATCATGTACAATAACTGATATGCTCATTACTCCAGAAAGTCAGTATTCTTACAGAAAAAGAACTACCAGAGGTCACATAATATTTGCTTTCCAGACAGACGAGGTGCCTCTCCCTGGACTTCCCTGTTTACTCAGAGAGCTACATCCAGGATTCATGTCAGGATTTCAACACACAAAAAAATCGGGGGATATTTACACAGGCCAAGGAGGAAAAAACATCTAAGAGTCACTTTATGAAGCATTAAGATTCTAGCAGTGATTCTGAGCCACGGTTGCCTCTTGAATGAACGAATGGGGGCTGGGAGGCTCCCCGTGTCATGGTGCAGTAACCGTATGGGAGGAAAGTGACAGTGCGAGGTATAGAAATGAGAACACGAGCACTTTGGCACCAACAAGTTCTATTACATACACAGGAGGCACTGCTTAGGGGATCTATGGTTTCTAAAACCGGCCATGTCTTGGAGTACCCAACAGTGAAGGTGGTTAAAATGGCAACTCTTCAATGACTTAAAGTCACAGTGGGAAGCTTACCATAGAGCTGGTCTACTGTAGGAAGTCTATCAGAAACACTTGTGTTCTTTTTAAATGTGTAGGAAGAACCAAGCCAATGGAGATGTAATTAACACACTAGACCAAGCAAGTGTGATCTGGGCTGTGTACACAGAAATCAGAGGTTTCTCAAGAAGGCAGAAGAACAGAGCTGTGCACCTGTTCCCTTTGTTGTGATGACTCTGGGTGTTCCACATAACTTGAAAACACTGAACAGGCCGCAGAGCCAATTAACTTGGTTTGTCAGTCACAGGTAATTGCAAAGTATTAAAACATAATGGCCAGAATTATCATTGAGGTTGCTAAAGATTGAAGACATTTTCAAATTCTTAACTTATGCCAAAACTTTAACAATAAATTCAAATGTAAAACTTACAGCTTAGCTGGCTGGTTTTCAGATTAATTGCCCTGATTTTAAAACAAGTACCATTCCGTTCGGCACCCATCCGTACTTATGAACACAAAGCATTCTGCGAGTCACTCAAGACCCGTTTTAAAATTCCCTCCTTCTGCTTCAACTTCCACGGTGTGCTAAGTAATCTGAAGACCAGGCGGGAGAATGGGGAAAGAGTGAGTGTTGACATAATTCCTTGAGGCAGAGCTACAAAACCAACCTCCACCTGGGCTGAGAGCATGGACTGTGAGGAGAAACTTTTGCTGATGTTAAACTCAAAAGGTGGAGTGGAGCAAAACTCCATTTGACCAAGGAGCGCCATTTTCGATGCAGGGCTCCCTTTCTGACCTACAAGCATTTCAAGCCCTCCCGGGACTAGCCGTGACAACACAGCACGCAGGCGTCAATCAGGAGACTGGACGCTACATGGTGCGCATCGCTCAGTAGATGAAATTTCTTTAAAATACATACATAAAAACATGTTAAGTTCTCCTAAATATGAAACGCCAAGTGTCCATAACTGCACATCACTTTCTTACCCAAAGTGGGCCTGAAGTGTTGAGTATGGAAGTACTAGTTACATGATTTAAGATTAGTCAGAAACATCACCAAGTAGCGTCCAAAACTGTACAAACCAGTTAAGCACGTATAAAATTAGTACTAATCCAGTTAGAAATACAAAATGAGAATTACGAATGCTGCCCCAAATACCTGTGATTTCACAAATTTACAAGCAGACTATGTAACAAAGTAGACTCTAGTTTTAAGAAAAACCATTACAGTTCCATTATCTATTCCAAAAATGATCTCAAGTCCCAACAATAAAATCAAAAATCATTTATCTGGAAATTAGAACCATTTAAATGTTTGTACAAATTTGCAAATAAGAAAATAAACAAACAAAAAATAGAAAAGACCTGTACAGGCTGGCGTTTACTCCTCCCCCCACCCCCAAAGTCTGACAAGTCCATTGATTCAGCAGATTGAAAACAGGCTACTTGGTTCTCGTGTGAACTCTGTGGCAACGTGAACAGGTCCAAAGCTGTTCAGTGGAGGTGCCGATTGGAGATTCAGTTCTTTGTGATCTGTCAGTTCAGCAGAACAGGTAGTACAAACAAAAGTTTAACTTATCAAGACACGAGACCATCACAGTATTACAAAGAGTATAAACTGTCCTTGGACCAAATGTATATCGAAAAAAACAAAAACACTCACAAATACAATTCTGCGCCTGCTGCTTCTACACAAAACTTGAAAGCACACCAGGATCCAGAAGTCTTTTCTGCAGTTCTGTGGTGCAGTGAGTTTGGCACTTCATTGCAATGAGACTTCTAATGGCACGGTCCTTATCTACAGCAGCACATAACCTGCACACGGCGGGCAAACATCCTGTACAGGAAAATGTCTTCGCTGCCAAGTCTGATGAGAGGAAAAAAGGAAGGTTTTTTGTTTTTAAGTCAAGAAGACCAAAAGGGGCAATGAAGGGCATCTTTGGACTGCTTCTCTCAGTTCCTGCTGTCAGATAATCTGAACCACTTTTAAGTGTAGCCTAGGAAAAAGCACACACACACACACACAGTGAAAATACAGTCGAGCTAAAATCAATTCAATTTAACACACTAGAGTGACAGGCATACTCAGGGGCCAAACGGCTCTAAACTCATTCAATGGGGAAAATTCCACTTTACAAAAAAACCCTTCAGCATTTGATTTGTATCAAATAGATTCACTTCTTGAAGAGCTGCTAAAAAGATCTGGCCGTCCAACTGTCAAAAGCAATTCTTCAAAGAAGTTAAAGGCAACCTGATACTTAAACTCAAAAGGAAAACTGATAAGCTGCAAAGGACGGAGAGGAAGGATGAATGAAGCCTCCCTGCCTGTCTGCAAGGGGCAGTCGGCTGGCATCAAAGAAGTTCTAACCGTGGAGGGCACTGGTGACTGACTTACTGCATTCCTCCCTTCTAAGCTCTGTTTTTCAGAAGGTCTTTGGCACTGGGTGAACTTACCGGCTCACACTCAGCCCGACACCCAGCTGTGTGTTGTAGTCTTGACGCCGTGCGGGAAGCTTTGGCTGGGCAGCACATTGTCAAAATTGAAATCCAACGTGTCTCCATCCATGAGGTCGTTCCGAATGATGGACTCCATGTCACAGTCCAAGCGCTCGACAAACATGCCGTCCAAGTCACTCGGGAGCTTCTCCTGGTGGAGAAGACCCATCCTGCCGTAGCCGTTGCAGCTGCTCACTGAGGAATAGCCCCCCAGGGCACTCATCTGCATGGCGTGGGGCAGAGGCACTTGCAAAGGCGTCTTCACTGGGGTCAGGCGGCTCATGCCCGAGGTGTGAGGCATGGAGCCAAGTGCGTTGGGCAGGGCACGCCCATTGACCACAGATGTCTGCGGAGCATGTCCAGGGTGGGCATGGGAGCTGGGGCTCATCATTTTGTTATGAGATGCCTGGCTGCCGTAGGTTGACATGACCGAACTGGGGCCCAGCATCACATTCTGGCCCAGAACCCGGCTGTTTGGTTGGGCCACCCCGGGATCGACAGGTGTCATCATGTCATTATGGGGAGGAGAGTCAGAAGTCAGCAGCTCCTTCAGGAGTCCTGGCGCACAGGTATACTGACTCATGCCGCCAAAGCTGGACTTGCTGTCCTGAAGTGTCTGCATAGGCATCTGGGGCAAAGGGCTCATGCTGGACTGGCCGTACGTGTACTTTTGGTAGTTTGGGCTGGGCGAATTGAGGCTGGTGTTTGGCGGGGTGAACGAGTAGCACGGCGTCTGCTGCATCATGGCACCTGGGGAGGACTGGGTTGAAACGGTCAGCGATGTCGGCGACGAGAGAAGGTTGAGATTATCCAGAAGGTTTTCCATGTTTTCGGGATTGCTTATCTCAGACAGGCTGGGGAGAGTGGAGGCCATCTTGGCGGCAGACGGCGGGTACACCATGGAATGCACGTCGCCCTCCCCAAGGTCGTCCTGTTCGGTCATAATGGGTGACAGCCGCCCGCTAATTGTGCTGGCATTGGAGCTGGTGCGAGGACGAAACGTGCTCCAGTTATCAAGGTCATCATTGCTGTGAGAGCCAGGGCTCGAGGGCCACTTGGAGAACTGAGAGCCAGGGCTGTCCCCAGCGCCCTCTTGACCGGGCTGCAGGGAGGCCTTCTTCTTGGCAGCCCGGCTCCGGCTCTTGGCGAACTTGCTGTTGTTGTCCATGGATGCCGCTCTTCTCCTGGGGGACTTCCCGCTCTTGCCGCCCTCTGGGTTGAGCATCCACCAGGAGCTCTTCCCAGTCCCCTCGTTCTGCACGCGGATGAACTTACTATGCAGGGACAGGTTGTGACGAATGGAGTTCTGCAAGGCAAGACACCACGTTAGGAGGGCAGCATTTCCCCACTGGGAAGACACACGCACAACACACGCCACGAGGGGGACAAAAAAAATTTCAAGCGTGTACTGCACAGACTTCAACCTGAACAGTCAGTGGGTCTGAAGCCACCACCGAGGATCTCAAAGGGCACAGGAAAAACACCATCTTCTCTTCAAAACAGCACCCATATCTTCCCTTAACGAGGGAACAAAATGAAACGAGCAGTGTGGCAAATGCCTTCTGTTATGCAGCTACATTTTATGGCGAAACTCCAGGAACCGGTTTTAAAACCACTTCCATTTGGCTCAGCCACAGTGCCGACTAAAGAGTGCCCCATATCACAGTGCCAGCCAAACATCTATTTGGCTATCCCTAAAGCTATGGGCCGTTCTCTTCAGATTAAACACATGCCGCTTACATATGGTAAGAAGTGTTGCATTACATTTCTGGTCAGGAATTAAAAGTCCCCAGACTGACAGTGAGACCTAGATTCATTTACACCCTGAAAGCCCATTAAGCAAAAGGAAAACAAGAGTCATCGCTTTTTGCATCTGAGAAAGTTGTTCTGCCCCTCCTCCCCCCTCCCACCAGCATGTGTGAGTAGAATGCACCAACTAACTCCACGACACGCATCTGGGAGCTACACTCTGCCAAAGAGATGATTTGGGAGAAGAAGAAAGGGCAGAGAAGCCTGCGAACTCAAGAACTCAGGCCAGGGTTCTTTTACATACATGTATGTAAACGGCATGTGTTTAATCTGAAGAGAACGGCCCATAGCTTTAGGGATAGCCAAATAGATGTTTGGCCAGCACAGTCGTGACCCACTGTGCCACACAGATCCCTGGGCCCATTAGTCAAGAACTCAGGTGGCTCAGTCTGTATGCCCACGCCTTTGGGAGGCTGAGGTGAGTGGACTGCCTGAGCCTGCGGGTTCGAGACCTGCCTGGGCAGCGAGACCTCATCTCTACAATAAATCAAAAAATCAGCCGGGCATGGTAGTGCATGCCTGTAATTCCAGCTACTCGGAAGGCTGAGGTGGAAGGATCACCGGAGCCCAGCAGGTCGAGGCTGCGGTGGCCGGGAGTGGCCACTGCACTCCAGTTTGGGTGACAGACTAAAAAAAAAAAAAAAAAAAAAAGAACTCAGCCCTTTTTCTTCTGAGCTTCTCTGGCCCTACTGCTTACTGGCTGAATGACCTCGGGAAGCTGCTTAGCCCTGACTGTGCCCTCAAGCTTCCTTGCCTACAAAACGGACACATGACAGAAACCTATGGGGCAGTTTCATGGATTAAATGAGATACATAAAAATGTTCAGTGCCTGGCGTCTAATAAACTGTCATCACAAAGGCGCTGTTAGACCTCAGCTCTGGGAACACAAGACACCATGATTCCCAGTCCTGCTTCCCCATTCCTATTCCATGTGGTGTGGGCGTGAAGCAGAGGTTTTGCAAATGTATGGTAAAGGGGCCCGGAGACAGCTTCTCAAGCTTCAGCAGAAACATCAGCACCAGGCTGCAGCTGAGAAAGCCTCAGCCTGATTCGCCTGCTCATGAGAGCCCAAGGAACACGCAGGACACCGAATGCCGAGGAAGCGGGACTGGTCGCACAGCTGCTTGCCCCCACAGAACAGGGCACAGTCACTACACTTGCTCATGTGGCAGCCTGCCTCCAGGAATGGGTTTCCAGGTGCCTGAGGCCCTGGCAGCGGGCACAAGGCCTGGCTGGCGGAGCACCCTGCAGCCCTGCAGCCCCACTCTCCTTGGCCGCAAAAGGCTCTGGCTCGATGTGTGGCCACCCAGAGATGCAGCCACAGTGCCCACATCCTCATGCCATCGACACGGGACGCAGAGGTCTGAGTGCCAGGGCAGAGACTGCAGGGCAGTATGTGGCTATGCTCCAACACGAACCCTGAACCCGGGTCTTTTCTTGGCAAAAGTAGGGAGAAAGCAGAAGGGAGTAAACACTCTTGCTTTCTGAAAGAGTGTATGGAAGTCAGAGGGAGGCCCATCGGTCAGGACGGGGCATCCGCATTTCAGGACGCCCTCTGACCCTCTGTGCTGCATTCCGCCAAGGACGGCAACACAGCAGCTACGTGACCAGCACTTCCGCCAGGGCACACAGCGAGCACCAGTAGACACGACCCCGCTGGACGCGGGCAAGTGTGTGTGCACAAAGCAGCAAGTCTCCTGTTCCCCAAACTTCCCTCCTTCCCTCCTAAGAGCTATCACTCAACTCTGGACACACTATGAGGGCCATTCAGAGGTTGGGATTCCACAGAAGAGTCCCTTAAAGAGGCCAAGGACTGCACGTTCCCCTAAGACTCTCCAGACCCCATGACAGGACCCCCCTGCACACACTCAGAGCCACAGCCTCACCCGCTGTGCCCGTCGATACCTGAGGCAACCAAGCTCTCAGCCTTGAAAGAACAGCAGGCTGCCCTTGGGTAGTGCTGAATGCAGTCCAGCAGCCCAGCATCCCAGCCCTGCGACACTGTCTACAGGCTGAAAGTCCATGCATTTGCATACTATTCCATCACGACGGTTTTGTTCTTTGAACACAATAGTGCGGATGAAATCTCTGGAGGAGAGGAAGCTTGACTCCTTTCCCTGTCACATTCAGTTAATGATGAAGGGGGAAGAAAGATCTTCCCGGATAGTAGCTTCCTGGCTGTCTGTACCGCCTTGGGGCCCCGGGGAGGCACAGACTATCAACACCCACGATGATTCTGTGGGGTCCCTGGCCAGCACAGTTGGGGGTCATTTTTGGCAAGACTGCAGAAGTCATAATGATGAAATATTTTAAAGTTCCAAAAGCGTTCCTATTCAGAGTTTATTTTATTTTATTTTATTAAGCCACAGCAATTCCTTAGTTATCAAAACATCATATTACGTATTTTTCTAAGAGGACATTTCAGGTCGCTCTTTGAGTAACAGAGTTGTCTCCTAACTTTGCCAACAATTAAAAAAATTTTTTCCAAACAGGAAAAGGCTTGCAGTGCAGGGTTTGTTACATAAATTCCTGTTTTTCACACTGCCTGCAGGACATTAAAGCGGCTACGATTTCTGAGGGCTTAAGGAGGTAGGTCTTGTAAGGCTGCATTGCTGGGAACGTGATGAAGCCGGACGAGCGCGCCATTCACAGGGGCCGTCGCAGCAGAGCCACATGTCACCACTGGGCTTGGAGGACGAGGCCCCCGCATGCTCCCACCCACACTTGTGTGAAGCGATGTCAGAGAAGGCCGGCCTCCTCCCTCACTGGCTGCACCACTCTCGTCCCACCCGCAGGCCTCCTCATGTGGTCACCCGTGGGGGCTGCAACATTAGAAATCAAGAACAGGCCTAGCTAACCCCCTTCGTTCTAGAGGCTTGGAGTCTGTAGCGCACACAGCACCCCAGCAGAGTGGGCTGGACAAGCAGGTGCCCTGTGTCAGGGGATCCCCTCCCCCAGTCTGTGGAGCTTCTCAGGAGAGTGCAGCACTGAAGCTGCCCAGTGCCTGCATAAGGGTGTGAAAACGGCCACCAAACTCAACAATCCAACAGAAGAAGTTGACACAAGGAAACTGGGACTTGAGACTAAATGAACCCGGTGCTCTAGAAATGCTTTCAAACTAGATTTTTCCAAAGTGTTTTATCAAATTCCTGTGACCTTTCTCAATGTGCACAATTGTTAAGACTTCAGCATGGCCTGTGTTCCCTGCTCCTCCTCCTCTCTCTCAACGCCCTCAATTCCTGCACTGCAACAAGAGAAAACAAACGAGGGAGAAAGTAGGGAAATCTCTATTCAACATGGAGTTCCCCTTAGCGTTACGAATAACACAATAGCTTTTAGAAATAATCCATTCTGCTTACAAACAGACGGAAAACACGTGCCCTTTTGCCAATCATTCTTTACACAAGGATGTCAACAGCACACGTTACCAACAGACAGCACGTAAATTAACCTTGAAGGGCGTCATAACACAAGCGCTACTGAGAACAGCTCATGTACACGTTTATGCCTTAGACCCTTCCACGAGGCTGATTTCCATTCCCAGGACCATTTCCTACTTGTCCAGACATCCAGTGGCCTTCCCCTAGGCCCCACACCTGCGTGCACTGAGGTCTTGGTGCTTCTACTGTGATCCTGGGCGGTGGACAGAGAGAACCCAGACTCATCACATGGAAGGTCCTTGGAGAATCATCTGGCCTAATGCTCTTGTTTTATGCTCGGGAAAACAGAGCTTAGAGAGACTAAAAGGCAGTGTCCAGAGTTGAGTGATAGCTCTTAGGAGGGAAGGAGGGAAGTTTGGGGAACAGGAGACTTGCTGCTTCGTGCACACACACTTGCCCGCGTCCAGCGGGGTCGTGTTTACGGGTGTCCATTCACAAAAGGTCTCGAGACCCACTCAGGGCTTCCGTCCCAGAAGAAATGTGCAGGTACCAGGACATGCAGTGCAACTCCCCAGGCAAACTGATCCTTAGCTACAGAGTCTCAAGCCACCTAGACACATGTGGAATTCTTTACTGCTTCGTCACTGACTCAAGTCGTTCCAGAAGAAGGATAATGTGACTCCACTGAAGTAGCCATCACTGAAGAAAGAAGGCGGGGGCTGTGCTGTCACAGAACACAATGCTAGAGGGACACTTGTGAGCAACTCACAGGTGGTATGAGGCGCTTCACGGATTTGGGAGGTGCCAGTTCTGGAGGCAGCGTTGCCACGGACCATTCTCAGTGAGCCCCTCCCTCTCATTAAGCCTCAGTTTCCACATCTGTAAGCAGTCACCAGTACCACAGAGGACCAACAGGGATCGAACGGCACAGTCCACATGGGAAGTGCTTGGCGCATCACCTGACACAAAGTTGGGGCAACACATGTTGGCCGTTTTGTTATAGGAGGTAAAAGATCATACCGGCAGGGATTTTTAAGCCACCATGAACGGTTATAATTTGAAAATCATTATTCACAAACTTCCTGTTAGGCCAGCCTTCCTCAAACGTGTTTCCATGTTCTCACAACTGGGCTGCGATCCTTCACTTACAGAAAAAGTTTGTCTTCTCCCCCGTGAGATGATTTTAAATTTAAAAGTTTGAGTGTTTATTAACTAGTGCATTCTGTTGGTGACCCGGGTCAGAACACGTGTCCGTAAGGCTGTCCAAGCTGAGGGCAACAGTAGATAACTAAGGGCAGCTCTCATCCAGATTGGCGATGACCACAATGATGCTCTTTTCCACCTTTTCCCAAACACAAGCAACTACGACCATCTATTTTGTGGAGAACAAGCCCTAGAAGAGCACCCGACCAGTGAGACGGGGTGGGGAGTTCAGGAACATACTGCAGGACAGAATGTTTGATCAAGAAACGAGCTGCAAGTGAACGGGAATGTGGCATTTATCAGCAAACAGAAGGGAGATGGGGGCACCACCAGCCCACCAGCCAATCAGCCCCGGAGCAGGAAGCTCTGCCATGGAGAAAACAGAGGATGCTCCGTGGCTGGACTGTTCTTCAATAGCAAAAGCCACGTTTACGTTTCAGAGCAACATTTCAGCCAGTGACCTCATCCATCTAGAACGTAAGAGAAACATCCTTCGGAGACAGAAGAGAAAACGCGCAGAACGATATTACATGGCACCAAGCTTCTGCTTCTACAGAGCATCCCAGTGCTTGCCGTTTCCGCATGACTGTGCTGTGTCCCACAGGAACGCCCTGAGGAAATAAGAGGAAGCTCCAGCTCTGGGAAAGGAAGGGCAAAGTCCTGAACTGCCAGAAAGTGAGAGTGAAGTCCCCGTGCCATCCGATGCCATGTGTTCTACACACTAGCAGAGACAAAGTAGCCCGGGACCACCCAGTGAGGTCGCCACAAGCAGGCCCGTGCACACCAGCGCCTTCCCTCTGCTCCAGAGCATCTCCTTCTGTAGCCCGCACACCGGGTGCTGAGTAATGGCTCCTCGTAGACGGAAACCACCTGCGCTGTCAAACACAGGGCTGGCAATGCCGCACCAGCCAAGCAGGTCAACTCTCTGATGAGCGTCATCAACCTTGACTGATGAGGGCTCTGTGTGGGTATCCAGAGACTAAATTGTATTTAGTTAAAATTCTTTAAAATGCCTTTAAAAAAAAGAGCTTGTGGGCTACTGAGGATTGCCAAGGAGCTGGTTTCCCTGGGGTTAACTTGGTTTCAGTGCAGGATGCAGACAACCCTGGTAACCCTCCAATCCGCTCACCAGCTCCTCCCCAGGGAGGCCCAGAGGCCAGGTACTGCGGAGTCCATGCCCCCACCCTGCCCATAAGTGACCCCAGGAAGCTTCAATTTAATTAGCCACCTAGAACAGGAATTCTTTCTGCTGTTCTCACCTAATGGCTGTCTCAGACACACAGGGTCCCAACTGCAGGAGAATGCTAAGAGGAAACTCATTTTTTGCTGAAGTGATTCTGTTCTTCCTAATGAAAATCTCTATTTTATAGGCCATGCAATTTTTCTAATCTTCAGTGGCTCTATAAATGCACAGCATTACAATGCAGTTAACTAGCCTATCTATTTGGCTACCAGAAGAATAAGGCAAAACAAAAACAAAGAACACATAGGATCTATTTTCCTTTTTTGCTTGTTTTTTTGTTTTGCATTAGAGTCTCTGTCGCAGAGACTGGAGTGCAGTGGCACGAACATGGCTCACCTCAGCCTCATCCTGGTTCAGGTGATCCTTCTGCCTTAGCCTCCCGAGTAGCTGGGACTACAGGCTTGCACCACCACACCTGACTAATTTTTTGTAGAGATGAGGTCTCATCACGTAGCCCAGGCTGGTCTCAAACTCCTGGTCTCAAGCAATCCTCTCACCTCGGCCTCCCAAAGT